GTCCGACGAAGTGGGCATTCACCCACGAAAGCTTATGCTCCAATACATCTGTTAGTCTTAAAGGTGCCACAGGACTCTCTGTTGCTTTTTAAATAAAAATGATTGCCTGAAACGTAGCTCAATAAAAATGCCTCTTATGTACTCCCTGTTTTTCAGTCGTGTGTGTTTAGGTTATGTCCAGAACGAAGATTACCAGGTTGCAGACCCAGTATGGCAAAATCTAATCTGATTATTTATGAAGCACAATTTATAGCTGGACTTTTTCAGATATTGGTCTGATCTTTTAATTCTGTCAATTAGCAAATCTTATCGAACTTGTACTGTTAGCAGAGTTGATATGGAAGCTTCCGATGAAGAATGAATAGGGAACCTCAGATGTCACTTACTATGTCACTTCTCTGAATAAAGCCATATTTATGGATTTAAAATTCTGTGAATACTTCAAGGTGTTGGTTGTTATTTAAGAAATACATACCTCTGTTGGACCAGCATACAACATGGGAGAGGGGAAGATTGCAACAATAGTTGACTTTGGGTCTAGGACATGTTCCTCAAGCACGGCTGCATGCTGCTTCATTCGCCACTCTAGTGGCACATCATCCTCTTTGGTCCAGCCTCCTAGAGGGTGCAGCAGAAGCACTGGATGTTTGTAACCTCTTTCCAGCAGATGGCTTTTGGTGTCCTGCATGAGCAGAGCATGACCATTGTGGACCGGGTTGCGCAGTTGAAATGCAAATATGGCATCTAAGAAAGAAAGATTCAGAACAGTGTCATAAGCCTGATAAGATGATTAACAACTGCACTAACCTGAACACCTAACAGGAAGTACATTTATAGACTATGTAAGTCATGAGCATCAAATTATGACAACCTCTACTGTTTACGTTCCCTGGTATTATTATTTGTATGAATGATCTGTATTACCATAGCGCCTGGGAGCCCTAGTTATGGACCAGGATCCCATTGTGCTAGGTGCTGCACAAACACAGAACAAGAAAACAAAATAAGCAACCTTATCTTCCCATGGAATGGTTCCTACAATACTTAAATTACATATGTACTATTCCTCTTAAGTGCTCTGTGAAATTTTTTCATTGTGCACATTTTCTCTGAGGTTGATCTTGGTTATATCATCCCACTGTGGCCAATGTATTTTTCACCTTCTCATTAGAAAGTGTATTTCCAGTCTACATCACATCCTCTAAACTTCACTTCTGAAAATATGTATTTGTTTGTTTTCAAAGTTCAATGAAATGCTTAGGGAGTTTGGAAAATCTACAATAAAAGCACCCTCTGCCTTCTAAAACACTTGTAATACCACAAAGTCATATGCTCACCAGCATTCATTTCTTTAAACTTCTGTTTGAGCTCCAGTGGTGTCAAGCGGAATTGGTCCAGTCCATCATTCCATTTTATTTTCTCTAACACAAGAAGATCACCACCAGCCAGCCAATTCCCACTTTCCATCACCATCTACAAAATCATATATATACACATATACATATATTAATCATGGAATATCTGCTAAATACTAAAACATTTGTGTTAATTTTATCTTTCATTAAATGCCTCCACAGTACAACTATCACTGACTTACTGAGTGGCTGCATCTAACCTGTTTCTCTCCTTGAAATGCAGGGCTAGAGGGGACCTTGCCAGGTCATCTAGGCTGAGGTAGGACTAAGTATATTGACAAGTGATTGTCTAACTGGTTCTTAAAAACCTCCAGAATGATGGGGATTCCACCACCTCCCTTTGAAGTTTAGTTCAGTGCTTAACTATCCATATAGTTAGAAAGTTTTTCCTAATATCTAACCTAAATCTCCCTTGCTGCAGAGTAAGTCCATTATATCTTGTCCTACCTTCAGTGGAGATGGAAAACAATTGCATATGTCCTCATTATAACAACTCTAAACATATTTAAAGACTGTCATCAGGTCCCCCCTCTTCTCTGCCCCTAAACCAAGTCTTCTTTTCTCAAGACTAAACATGCCCAGTTTTTTAAACCTTTCTTCAGAGGTCGGTTTTCTAAACCTTTTATCATTTTTGTTGCTCTCCTCTGGACTCTCTCCAATTTGTCCACCTCTTTCTTAAAGTGTGGTGCCCAGACTGGACACAGTAGTGCAGGTGAGGCCTCACCAGAGCTGAGTAGAGCAGGACAATTACTGCCTGTGCCTTACATACAACACTCTTGTTATCAGATGTCAGAATATTAGCCTTTTTTACAATTGCATCACATTGTTGGCTCATATTCAATTTGTAATTCTCTTCAACTCCCAGATCTTTTTCAGCAGTACTGCTGCCTAGCCCGTTATTTACTATTTTGTAGTTGTGCATTTGATTTTTCCTTCCTAAATGAAGTACTTTTCACTTGTCTTTCCCGAGGCCTGGTCTACACTAGGAAATTAGGTCGGTATAACTACATTGCTCAGAGGTGTGAAAAAATCCACACTCCTGAGCAATGCAGTTAAACCAGCCTAACCCCCAGTTTAGACAGTGCTAGGTCGACGGGAGAATTCTCCCATCATAGTAGCTACCACCTCTTGGGGAAGTAGATTACCTATACCGACGGGAGAACCCCTCCTGTCAGAGTAGGCAGCATCTTCACTGAAGCTCTACAGTGGTGCAGATGCAGTGGTACAGGTGTGTTGCTGCAGTGTTTTAAGTACAGACAAGCCCTAAATTTCATCTTGTTGATTTCAGACCAATTTTCCAATTTGTCAAAGTGCTTGCAACCCCTCCCAGTTTGGTGTAATCTGTGGATTTCATAACATACTCTTCACTTCATTATCTAAGCCATTAATGGAAATATAGAATAGTACCAGACCCAAGACAGGCCCCTGAGGAACGCCACTGGATAGGTCCCCCCAGTTTACAGCAAATCATTGATGACTGCTTTTTACTTATGGTCTTTTAACCAGTTATGTGCTAACCTTATAATAATTTCAACTAGACCACTTTTCCCTAGTTTGCTCATGAGAATGTTATGTGGGACTGTGTCAAAAGCCTTACTAAAATCAAAATATATCACGTCTACATATCCATAGACCAGTAACCCTGTCAAAGACGGAAATTAGGTTGGTTTGGCATGATTTGTTCTTGACAAATCCATGCTGGCTCTTCCTTACAACCGTATTATCCTCCAGGTGCTTACAAATTGATTCGTAATTTGTTTCAGTGTCTTTCCAGATATTGAAGTTAGGCTGCCTGGTTTATAATTCCCGGGACCTCTTTGTTCCCCTTTTTAACTATAGGTACAATGTTTATCCTTCTCCAGTTGTCGGAGTCCTGCACCATCCTCCATGAGTGTGCAAAGATCATATTTAATAGTTCCAGTATTGATTCAGCTAGTTCTTTAAGTACCCTAGGAGAATTTCATCATGCCCTGCTTGATTTGAATACATCTGGTCACAATTAACATTTTTAATGATGACTGAAGCAAAACAGGCATTAAACAATTCAGCCTTCCTGATGTCATTTGTTATCAGCTCTCCTTCCCTGCTAAGTAGTGGACCTACACTTCCCTTCATTTTTTTCTTGCTCATATTGTATTTATAGATCCTCTTCTTATCGTCTTTTATGTCATTTGCTTGGTGTAACTCATTTTGTGCCTTAGCCTTTCTGATTTTGTCCCTACATGCTTGTGCTATTTTGTAGGATTGCTTTTTGATTTTCTGATCATTAAACAGCTTCTGATGGAGCCGTATTAGCCTCTTACTATTCTTCCTATCTTTCCTTTGCATTGGGATAGTTAGCTGCTGTGCCTTTAATATTGTCTCTTTGAGCAATACTATCAGCAATTCTGAATTCCTTTTTCCCTTAGATTTTCTTCACATGGAAACATACCAACCAGTTCAGTTCAAGTCTGCTTTTTGAAGTCCATTGACTTTATTCTGCCTTTCTTACTCCTTCCTTTCCTTAGAATCCTGAAATCTATCATTTCCTCATCACTTTCACCCAAATCCCGGATGATACTTTCAAAAACATTTTATTTAGGCATGATTCTGTTTATATATTTAATCTTCCTTGTTTTTGTTTTTTAATTACTGGATACATTTTCTTTTGGAAGAGTCAGGGTGTAAACACTACATAAATGCAACAGATAAGGTTAAATGCACCTCAGGCTCCATGCAACCTGACGGTAGAAAGCCTGCCAGGAGAGGAAAGAAACAGCAATAAAAAGCAGAAACAGTCTTCCTTCTTCTGGGTGGTGAATTGCAGTGCTCCGGCAAAGTTCAAGTACCACACAGCACTAGCTGAGGCAGGGCTGTTGCAAGGGTGACCCAAAATGTTTCCATTCAGTGGGTCCTTTCACATAACTCCTGCCAGTGGGACTACTATGGAGTTCCTGGTAGACTTTAGAGCTCAAAATGTGACCTACAGCATTCTGGAACTCTGAAGTTAACCCAAAAGGTAAATAACAGTATCTGTTAACTCCTGTACATGCCACTGAACCAGCCTTAAAACGCCTAGGAATTGTGCTATATTGCAGTCTTTCATCTAGCATGTATTTATCTGGTATCTTGTTGTTTTAACAAATGCCACTCAACTGGTATAAACTGACATAGCTCCACCGGAGTCAATACATATATACTGATTTACATCAACCGAGGTTCTGAATGTTGGCCTTCACACTGCATGTTTTGTTTCTCTTTTCTGCATTAAATGCCCAGTATTCCAGGGGTTCTTTTCTTCTTGATGATTTCACAGTGGTCCCCACAGTCACTGGCATTATTACACTAATTCCCACAAATATAAAACACAGCAGTTGCAGATCATCAAACACCTTATTGTTTTCATTATGCATAAGCAGAATTAACATAATGGCTGCTGTTTTTGAAAGTAGACAGTCAAAGTTGACTACTGATTTTAAGCAAAGACACACTGAAAACTAATATGGTACTACATACTAATGAAAATTATTATTTGTATTTTTGTTCAGAGTAGGTGGGTAAAGATAAGATGCAGAAAATTAAAAAATCCCAACATTCTACTATGATTAGTAGGAAGAAGAAAAAAGCACCATTCAAAATTCATTTTAATTATGTTTTGTTTCATGCCTCAATTCCAGCTCTCAGCCAATGATTTGCAGTGTTAGAATGTTGAATAGCATCAGAGTGAAAACCAAACCACTGATTCATGGAAATTTAAGGAGTGAAAGTATTAGATAAATGTGAACATGTTTAAGCTAAAAAAATAAAAAATAAAATCTGTACTTATGTATGTAATGAGCATTTGTAGAAAACTTTCCAGCTCTTTTGTGGTGTTATATACCCACTCCCACCCCACGCATTTGATTTTGAGTTCCATGAGCTTGATGGAATAAACTGCTCTCTCGTTAACCAATAAACATGATGTTCAATGACTGTTTACATGTCAAGAAATCAATTCTCCTTTGCAATCCTAATGTGATCTTTTCCAGTGAATGGTTCCTTGTATTTTACTTTGAGAGAGTACAGAAAACACCATGTATATTCCTAATAGGAAATGTACTATTGCATGCTCTCTACTTTACAGGTTGCCTTAGTTTTTAATTCCTGAAGACTTATTATTGCAAACAGGGAAATTACTAACACACTTACTTTGACATGTGGGTGCTTCACACAGGTTGTCCCCCACACACGCGCACAGCGCTCCTCCTTCCTATGTTCATAGAACTCTGGGTTTCTGAGGATTGCTACCCTTTGGCCATTATACTCAAGTGCAAATGCAGTGCAGCCATCCAGCCGTTCCTTATCTTCCGTAGCAACAGGGAGCACAATGGGAATGCTCAGATTAATAACGCCATCTGTGATGAGAACACCACCATATTTTAATATACTTAAAAAGGCTAGAGCATCACACACACACACACACAAATGGCTCTTATGAAAATGTTCTGAAAGAGGAAGTCCTAACCCAGGACTGACTGAATGATCATAGACGCTGGATCAATTGGTCTAATGACCTCATTCAATTAACCACATGACCATACTGATTTTACTCTGGGGTTAGGTTTTTTCTCCATGTTTTTGCTTGGTAATATACCTATTGTTTCCTTATAAGCATTAAAATCCATAAGAAAGAATCATTAAACAATTTAGCAGTTGTAACTGTGACAGTGATTACTTGGTCATCTAAGACAAATTATTTTGTTCCGGTTTGACATATAGGTAATACTCATGCCACATAGAATATTGAAAAGATCTCAGAGATTCTGCTGATTTAGCACCCTGGAGATTTTTCATGTGATGATTTTAATACTATGTAGATTTTGCCATTCTTTATTTCATTTTTTTAATAAAATGTTTATCATTCATTTATGTGTAGCTTTTTTAAATTAGCTTCATGCACAATCAGGTATTTAAAATGTAGTCATGTGTGATCCAACCAGGTAAATTTCCCTTTGTTTAAATCTTCCTGACTGAAACACGCTTTCACAAATTATTCAGAAGTATGTTTAAAAATTTAATAGTGCAACCTCATATCAGGTCTATTTATTTAAATAATACCAACCAATACTCAAAGTTATCAATTAGTAAAGCCAATGTGGCAACAAAACATGGAATAATTTCTTAAATAAATCATTTTGGGTTATGGTATTCCAGCTTAATTACAATACACAGAACAACAATCACTTATGATATATGCAAATACAACTTGCAAAGTTATATGATTAGTATTGTCATGAACTCAGTTAATGGCGTATGGGAGGTCTGGTATTATGTATAACTGGTTGGATCATAAACAACTTGGTGCCAGTTCCAGTTCTAATTTAGATTTTATTTTTCTATGGCATTTTATATAATTTATGTTAAAATCTCTAATTGTAATTATTTCCATAGTATATGGAAAACAATTAAATACATACCAACTAGAGCTATACCAACTCTACCCTTTCCTAGGGAAATAAAAACATAATTAACACCTATGTTTTTAATTTCCCCAAAAATAACTTTTACAATAATAGATTCAGGAACCAAATCAATCTGAAACTTCAAACAGCTATTGCATAATTTTTAGTTTGGATATTTCCTTGCACTGTCAAGACTATATTTTTTCCTCTTTTGCTGTCAACATAAATGTTACTCTGTATGGTTCAGTGCTATTTAATTTGCTACCTGTTTTCATAACATGTATTTCACCCCCAAAATGTTGAATGTGTATAGTTTCTCCATAATGAAATCTTCAGAAAATATATACATAACAGGTAAGACAATCCAAGTTCTGGGTGCCAGCTGCATGCATTCAAAAGCATTCATTAGTAGAACTGATTGAAAAGTGGAGGGGGTTAGTTCTGTATAAAAATAAACAACATTTTCAGCTGAAAACTTGTTTTTTCAGCAAAAACTCTGTTTTCCACAGAAAGCAGACACTTGTCAAAAAAAAAAAAATTCATTTAGTTGAAAACCCAATTTTCTGTTGAAGAACTTTTGACAGAAAGTTTTCAACCAGCCCTATTAGTCATGTTATTTTCTGACTCTGTCCTAATAATTTTGGAGCACACTACTTCTCATCTCTAAAGGGGAGAACAGCACCACTCCATAAATCTGTGTGGCACTAATTTAATTAATATATCATATTAATATACCTTATGAGCCACTTGAAGGTAAATAAAATGAAATTACATATTTATACATGTTTGGAATGTATCTCTTATGCTACCTGTAGCGGGGTGGCTACCCCACTCCTGCCTGAGGGGTTTAAAACAGCCCTGGCAGAGGGCTGGGGCAAAGGGAAAAGCTACTGGGCTGATTGGGGAAGTAGCCACAGCTGGGACGCCCCAATCAGGCCACAGCTGGCCCTATATAAGAAGGCTGGGAGCCAGGAACTCAAGAGTCTCTCTTTGCCTTCAGAGAGAGAAGGGCCTGGCTGCAGGGAGCTAGACAGGGTACCTGTAGTGGAGCAGGGCTGGGGAGCTCCAGCCTGGATAGCCCCAGGCTGCGGCCTGGTAATAGGCCAAGGGGTACTGGGGGTTACAGAGGACAGCCTGGGCCTAGGCGGAGGCAGCAGGTCCAAACCCAACCTTGCCAGTGATGAGTGGCCTATACTGCAGTGTGGCCCAGAGAGTGGGGACCAGTTGGTGACTGGCAGTGGCTTTATCCTGAGGCGAGGTGGGGTTAGTGGACAGGGGTTCCCCTGGGAGGGGAGACCTAGCATGTGTGTGGGTACTGCCAGGGGGCAGCACCCAGAGCAAAGGGCACCGGGGTCCTGGGAGGGACACGGGGGCCGAGAAGGAGAGAATGAATCGGATCACTGGCCTGCAGAGGGCGCTCCAGAGGCGGTGAGCTAATTCCCTAGATGACCAGCAGGAGGTGCCGCAGGGGTGAGTCTGGACTTCTACACTACCACACACGTGACTTCTTGTTTCACAGAAGAGGTTAAATACTTTACAAGGCACTTCAGTATACCCTGCAGATACAGTGAAACATATTTAAGGCAGGGGTTTTTGTACATAGCCAAGTTCCCAAAATATAAGTGTGATTTATTACTGAGAGGTTATGGAATTCAAAATGTATTAGTAGTAAAAACTGGTAACAAGAACTTGGACAGGTAAGTGCCAATGCTTCTACTGCTCACTTTATTCTGATTGCATCCTTTCAAGACATAACTACTTTTTGGTCAGTCCAAGGCTGAGGGTTCAATGTCTATGCTAATCAGGCAGGATGACTTGCCCACCTTTTTTTGAAAGTCTAGTCCCAAATGTTTATTTAGGAACATATAATGGTGTCCAATGCCTCTGCGCCCAACCATTTTACATCACTAAATACAACCAATAATAAAGAAATAAGGGCTTTGCAATAAAAGAAAATCAGAGAACCTCACTTCCTGCTCTCGAAATGTTAGTCAAAAGTCAGCCCAACAGATACACAGTGACCACCAAACTCAGACCACCAGGGACAGCAGATGCCAGTGGCATGGGACTGCAACTGAAAATACTTTTGCTGCTTGTTTTGGAGAAGTTAACACACATAATGAAAAAAACAAGTTCTGCGATATGTAAGTCCCAGGTCAGTTAGGGCTCCACGCATAGTAACCAACAGTATGAAAAACAAAACAAGGCATTCAGTACAAGCAACAGAGCACTGGTGCTGTGAACTCATCATGGAGCATCCCACACAAGTGATGAGCCACTGCAATCTGATCCAAATGGTGCTTCATGGTGATATTCAAGAGTAGCAACAAAACAGTAGTTTAACCTGGAAGTTACAGAGGTGTGGATTATTGTGGTGAGGTCTGCATCAGAGGCACTTGGGGCCACCAGAGCCACCTGGAAATCCAAAAGCAGGGATTATGGCAACGTGATCTTTAGACTGCAAACTGTACTGACAAAGCTACACTTGCCCTGTTCCCAGCGTCATCACTTTTGTCTCATGAGGTTGAACATAAATATTGATGAGACCAAATTAGCTTATCAGGCACTGGGATCATAAAAAAGAGCACAGTTGTGGATTTGATGAACAGGAGACATGGTTTTGAGTGTCACCTGCATATTAGCGATGCTGCAAGTCAAAACGTTGGTGGTACATACACGTGGAACAGGAGCGGTGACAATGCAGAACTCCACAGAGGGAAGCTTTTACAGTGGAAGAGTCAATATTAATTAGCCCCTTTTTAGCATGTCAGGGTCTGATTTTTCATTCCTTATTTAATTTGAGCAGTACCTTACTCTGTGAGTAGTCTCAGTCAGTGAAAGTGAGTTATTACTCTACATGAGGGTTTGGGGCCTCAGAGAGGAAAGATCAAAATCACTATTTCCAGCCATTCTCTCAAGCTTCCAAAAGCAAGTCAACAAAACCTTATGGTCAATTATGTCAACAGCTGCTAAAAGATCTAACAAAATCAACATGGACATCTTAACTGTGTGCATGGTTAGGAAGTGACTCTACTAAACCCATATCTAAAAATCAGGAACAGGACCATCTACTGTTCCCAGGCCAAGATGTAACTCTAGTTCATTCACCACCATCCCTTTGATTACCTTCTCCAAAACCAAGGAAGGTTAGCCTTTCAGTATATTGCTAATGAGAGATGAAATTTCAGGTCCATGGTTATGCTTTTAAGCCTTAAGAAAGAAGACATAAAAATATCATCTGAAAACATATACAGGCTTCTGTTTCTAATGTACAGGTCTTCTTTCTTACAGGGACTACAAACTCAATCTGGCAATCTCCTTAGGCAGTGGCCTTGATATTGCATTTGTATTTAATTCAATACAGGAAAAGTTTACATTCAATATTCAAATATTTGAACTGCCAGTTAATGGAATCAGTGTATGTGGCATTGGGGGCCCCTCCATAATAAAATAGACTATGTCCGTTTTCAAATTCTTCCACATAGTTAAATGCATCCACTTGCCATTCTCAAGGTTCTTTATAAAGCTATTTGCTCAGGTGCCACATTCATCGAGAGAGAAATTAAACAAACATTAAGTGTAGATTAATCTTTGGTATATAATTGACAACTATCATATTTCATTTGAACTTTTCAAACAATTTTTAAGGCTGTTTGGAAGTTTTAAAACAAAAAATGTCGAAGCAGGAAATCATACCATCCCTGAGGGTGCCAAAATGGATAACTTGCAAATATTCTGTCTCACGCATAAATCCTTTCAGTGGTGTGGCCCAGCCTTCACTCAGAACTTGGACCCACTGTAGATCCAACTGAAAAAAAGAATCAGATATTACTTGTATTACCAGTTAATGCTTCAAAGATAGTTTTCTTTAGCCTTCAGTTCTAAGAACAATCTTGTGCATAAGTGCTATGACTTTCTTTAATATAGTACATTTATAAACACATCTTTCATTCAGAAGGATTCCCAAAGTGTTTTTTGTTTTGATTTTAAGATTGTTAAGCAGAAATCTTCACCTCCCTTACATCCCTGCACCTTAATTTGCTTCAGTGATGTTGCTAACATTTGCACCTGTACTCCACTTGAAGTCACAAAAGGAATGGGTGCCATTTTGCAGAGACAAAATGCATCCAATATAAGACACCAGGCTGAGCCCAGATGAAAATTTTGGCCACAGTGTTTACTGAAGTTTTATGTTGCACATAGGCCATAGCACAAACACAGCAAGTTGTACGGTCTGATAAAGATTATTCACAAATATTTGTCCACTGGGTAAATTCTTTAAGATAATCTGTTATATTTCAGTATAAAAATAAGTCTTAATAGAGAGGGCTATTACAGACAACCAATTTTTCAATTTTATTTGAAAGACTATAAGAGTATTGGCTATAAATAATACTAATTGTGATTTTAGAGGATGAAATATATGCTGTTCTTTGAAAGTCTTATTTTGTAAATCTAATTAACTGTGTTTTACTGAAATTATGTGACAATATAAAATTATATTTCTACATATAATACCGGGACATTTTACAATCTTTAGAAGATAAAATTAAGACTGGAGTACAGTTACCATAAGAATCATTTCTATAACGCTAATCGGAATAAACAGACTAAATCTGGATTTCGAAGTCCTCAATTTCATCTGACAAGGAGTCCTACAGTCAGGAGCAAGGGATCTAAACACTAATGATGCAACTTTAGTGGTACAGGATTCATTAATGTCAAAAAGAAAACATAATGGAAAAATGTTGTGTAGATAGCACTGTATAATTTACATGTTGCTGTTGTGTTGCTTTTTAATTTGTTTTTAACTCGTAGTAACCCTTGAATCATTCACATTTGTGTAGTATTAGGGCTTGCAGTAATCAGAAAGCAACAGGATTCCACACACTTTGGAGATGTCTGTATTGTAACTTGTTTAGTACTTTGATAAAAGGGCTTATCAAGGTACTACACAATGCCATTTTCTTTATTCTCCCACCTTGGTAATCTCTAGAGTAGGCAGCATGTTAGCATCAGCTCGGGTCTGGTCAATCTTATTTTCAGGTACAAACAGTTCAAGAACATCCTTAATCACAGTTTTGGGAACAATATTCTAAAAAGAAAAGAAATAAAGATCTTAGTTACCACACTAATTTTTAAACAAAATATACCAAAAGGCCAACATTTGAAAATATACTTTACAAACTGCAGGTGTTTTTTGGTACAAAACTACCTACTTGTGCTTGTAGCAGCTCCACAACCTGCTGGATACATTCACTCACTGTAGCAATGTTCGTCTTCAACACTAGTTCAGGAGATTCTGGTTTCTCATACTCTGAATCAATCCCAGTGAATCCTACACACAATTAAACCCAAGTCAAATTTAATGCATGTAATAGTGAGCAGCCTAGGGATCAATAAAATAGTTAGCTACTGCACAAATGGCAAGAAAACATTCTTTCATTCAGACAACCCATGCTCAGAAATGGCATTGAGACTTCCTGTTTGGTCTATCAATAATGGACTTGACAATAAGGTTATAGCAATATGATGCTCTATGCTACAGGAACAATCTTTATTTGCCCACCTATGGAGATGTGTTGCTGGCAACACTGCAAATACCAGATATACAGCCCTTAATGCCAGAGAGAGAAAAAAGGGATGTGTTTGCTATCAGAAAGTGAGGGGTAAAGAAGCCTAACAAGGAAGAAGGTAGTCTCCAAATAACAAGGGTCCACGAGCAATTGTTTAGTGGAGGAAGGGAAAACTGCTATTTCAAAAAAGGGAAAATTATTATGCCAACTTTTATACAGAAGCTCGACAACATTAGCTTTACTTTTCAGGCCTTAAAGCAGTGTTGTTGCAGAGAAGATTCAGCTGTCTTGTGATACATAGTTGTAACTGGGTGGAAGACTAGCAAGCTGCATAGAGATGCACAACTCCTGTGTTGAATAATCTTCATGTCATATACCTGAATGATGGGGCAGTATAAGTGTAACTGAGTCATACTAGCAGGTGGATCTTATTAGTTCAAATCAAGAAAGAAGAGATGTTGGGGTATCTTTCTTTGGACGTTTAGGGAGAAAGCTAAGGCTGAGGTTTACATTCGGTTGTTATTTGAGATAGCATTAAAATCAAACCCCAGGAAGAGGTTAAGTTTGGACTATGTGCATATTCTCTTCAGCACAAGGTAGAAAATCCACCTGTTTTCAGTACTGGTCTCTTTCCCAATGTGAATGTTCTACATTTCACCCCCTGTTCATAAGAACATAAGAACGGCCATACTGGGTCAGACCAAAGGTCCATCAAGCCCAGTATCCTGTCCTCTGACAGTGGCCAATGCCAGGTGCCCCAAAGGGAATGAACAGACATGTTATCATCAAGTGATCCATCCCCTGTCACCCAATCCCAGCTTCTAGCAAACAGAGGCTAGGGACACCATTCCTGCCCATCCTGTTCACCTTTCTCACTCCTATGTTTCCGTTCCTCAGTGTGTTATTGTTGGGCAATTCAACAATAGTCTGCCACAAAAAAACGTAACCTCATTCTAAGCACAGATGTTACGTAGGGTGTGATATTATATATTATGTGATTTCTTGACCTGCTATGGAAAACTCACACTTTAAGAGAATCTCTCCTTTTGGGGAGAGGTTTATTGTCTTTCCTCCCTTTCTACTCCATTCTGGAACAATTTGTATTGTGGGGGTGCTGAAAGCCATAGAACTAAACTGTAAACGCTGTATATAATGGAAATCACTTCAAGTCAGGAGGTGCGGCAGCACCCCCAGCACCTCTAGTGCAAGATCTATGCTCTGGAGCGTCTCCCTTACCCTGCACAGAGGGATTGAGCTAAAAAATAAAGTTAGAACTTTGAGACTTTAAAACTGTTCCAGATTAGTTTGGGAATCTGCAATATTCTGATAATCACACTAGCTATAATGTATCTTGTGTGACTTCACCCAGCATTAAAACAACATAGGAATAAGTACATTGGTAAGTAAAGAATTTTAACATTGACTAGATGAATTAAGGTGAAAGGAACTCTCCGGAACACACATTTCAGTGAAATATTTACCAGTTTCTTCATTAAAAATAAAAAAGCACCTCTTCTAGCTCAATAGATTTCAATAGTTAAAGGATGTGTCCATATTTTTCTTCCAAAGTGCCATTATCAAATCTAGCAGGCACGCTTGAATGGATTTAAATTTTCCAATTTTAAAATTTACAAAAGCACCTAAGTGACTCAGGAACCTAGGTCCCATTTTCAAAAGTGACTTGGGCACTTAGAAGACTAAGTCCCATTCAGTTTAAAGAGACATATGTGCATAAGTGCCTGGGTAACTTCTGCAAATGGGACTTAGGTTACTAAAGGCTAGATCCACAAAGAGATTTGTGCCTAACTGCCACTTTAAGTGCCCAAGTCCAAATTTAGATCCCCCTAACCCCTGCTCTGCTGCTGCCAACCCTTTGAGCACCTACCTTTCCACTAGTGAAGTCCCCATGGGGCCTAACTATCTGCCATTGGGCACGCACACAGCCACCTACATACGGACACTCAGGTGGCTAGCTCATATCTAAACCTCAAAGAGATCCTCAGATTAGGTGTTTCCCCATCTATGTCACCTGATCAGTTCTCACACAATGTGATGGTGGTACTATTGTCCTGTTATATTCAATAGCCCAGTTGTTAGAGCACTCATTCAGGATGTGGAAGACCCAGATTCATATCCTCCCTGTGCCTGATGTAGAGCAGCGATATGAACTCAAGTCTCCCACCTCCCAAGTGAGTACTCTAACCACTGGGCTATAAGATATTCTGATTTGGGTTTCCCTCAGTCTTTCCTATTGAAGCTGTTCCGCTATGTATAAATAATTAGTCATTGGGTCAAGGAATGAATGAGAATGACTCAATAGCCCAGTGGTTAATGCACTCAGCTGGGATGTGGGAGACCCATCTTCAAGTCCCTGATCCAATAACTGTTTAAACAAAGCAGAATAGCTTCAACAGGGGAGACAGAGGCTTGGTTCAAATCCCTGCTCCACATCAAGCAGAGGGGGGATTTGAACCCAGGTTTCCCACATCCTAGATGAGTGCCTTAACCATTGGGCTATTTGGTATAGTAAAGCAGAACAGGTAGCACCAACACCATTTCCACAGCTGTGAATCCAAAACTGTTAGGAGGTGTTCCCTGCAGCCTGGACTTAGGTGTCTGTGGCCATGTCTACACTACTAGTGTTACAATGGCATAGTTATGGTGCTGTAGCTGTGCTGCTGTAGCACCATAGTGTAGATGCTTTCCACAACAACAGAAGGATATTTTTCCATTGCTGTAGACAACCTACCACTCAGAGTGGTGGTAGCTAGGTTAACGGAAGCATTCTTCAATTGACCTAGCTGTATCTACATTGGGGATCAGGTCAGCATAGCTGTGGTGCTCAGGGGTGTGAATTTTTCTCACTGCTGAGTGACACAACTATGTTGATGTACATTTTAAGTGTAGACCAGGCCTAAGTCCCTTTGAAGTGTAGAGCTTAGGCCTCACCCCTCTCCCTGGCATTTCCTCCTAGCTAACTTAGGCAGCTCATTGTGCCGGCTTTTGTGGATCCCATTTTTAGGCACCTAACCCTCCCCATGCATTGTACAGGGAGCCTAGGTGATTAACTCAGGACTCTGGGTGCTCCTAGGCAGCAGGGTGGCTAAACCTTAGGCATTGCAATGCTGAGTCTAAGTTTCCTTTGTGATTCTAGCCCCTAAGTCACTTTGACAGTTTTGAAATTGTTACTTATAAGAATAAGTTTCTGTGTAAGTGAATACTGCTAGCATTAATAATGTAAACATACACAAGGGGTTTGCACCACTTAAGAGTGCAGAAATTAGTCTGTTTCTATGCCCCTTGTTTCCACCACCTTCCAACAGATGGCTGGGGTTTTTTCCTTTTATTTAAAGAGGTAGCAACGCTGGCTCTCAGCACTGTTCACTGTTGATGAGAAGAGAAAAGGGAGGCAGATAAAAAGATACTGAGATATCATTAAACATAAACTGTTTACCACACCTTTGATTTCTCCAGCCCTTGCTTTTTTGTAAAGGCCTTTCACATCTCTGCTTTCACAAATATTTAGAGGAGCATCTACAAAGATTTCAAAGAAAGGAAGACCAGCCATTTCATGAATTTCCCTTGCATTTTGACGATCCTGTAAGAAGCAAGGGGAGAAATCATTAGCAATTCCACAATTGAATTCTCAGTGGGGTGTTGCTAAATATTTTATCTGGTCACCAACACCTGCCTAGAGTAGGATTTTTCTAACAGAAGGGTACAGGCCATATTCATCCATTGTAAAATGTTATATATATTAAATATATTCTTACTAAGAGAAAGAAGTTCCTTTTCACATAATGTTTAATAAAAATTACTAGTTTGATCTAGATTCAGCTTTTTAATAGCAGTTTAGAACATCTATCTTCACTTAGCAGGATGGCAGAATCTTATACTTTGAATGACTATTTATTAACTAATCCTTGTTTTAAAACAAAAATTATTGATAACCAACTGTATTGACCTGACATTAGCAGATTACTGTCATTATTATGAAGCAAACTAAATCACAAGTATAACAGCATATCAAAACTTCTTAGAACAACGTATATCAGCGTAATTATACCACTATAAAGCCCTGTACACCTTCCTCCAGTTTTCTATTTTTCAGGGAACTAGTGATTATGAATCTTTTGAGTGAAATTTTTACTTTTAACTTTTTACACTTATTAACTGAAACCTAGTTTTCTACATATTTTTTAACATCAATGTGTCATGCCAGTTTGCATCCAAGCAATAGAGACCAAGGGAACTTATTTTATATACTTGTGATTTAAAAAAAAAAAAGAAAAAAGAATAGGGGAAAAAATAAAGTGAACCTGTGATGGGATGGGAATTATTAACCCCTTTCACAGGCTGGAAAGGGGTTAATAATTAATTATGGAACAAATACAATATATGTACCTAGTTAGCTGCTTCTCAGCCACAGGGGGCAGGATTGGGAGGCATCAGGTGATAACTTAATGGACACTCAGGCCCCATAATGGACACTCAGGCCCCATAAAAGGGAGAAGAGTTTAATCTGAAGGAGGAAACTAGAGGGAGCAGATAGGAAGGCAAGTTCCTGCAAAGAGCTGAAGTGCCAGAGACTACTGTGGACTGGAGGCCTCAGTAAGACTTTGGTGGGATCAAGCGTGTTTGATACCAGAGCTGAGGTGAGGCAGTGGAACCCCAGGGAAAGGGGGTGAGCTCCAGACCCAGAAGAGAGGTTGATTCTTGGGGACTTTAGATTACACTATGACATCTGTTCCCCCAGAAAGGGTTCAACTAGCTGCTTCTCAGCTGGAGGGCTATGTGGTGTGCAAAGACAGATGGCCTGCAGGGAACACCAGAGAGAAACATCCCAGTGGCATCAGACCCTGAAATATAGGTGGTGGTGAGTACACTACATAACCGTTGTGTCTGAAATACAAGATATAAATTACACTCTTTAAAAGCGCCTCTTTTCCTAAAAATTCTAGTAATGAATTCTAGTGGTGAGAGAGCCAATGGACTCTCTGCAGAGACCCCATTTTGTCGAGTAAATATCGGTTTACCTTTGCAAAAGGGGAAATGAAACTAGTTATGCAAACAAGACCAGCATCGGCAAACAGTTTGGCAACCTCGGCAACACGGCGGATGTTTTCTTCTCGGTCATCAGTTGAGAAACCTAGGTTTTTGTTCAGACCATGCCGAATGTTATCCCCATCCAGAGAGTAGCAAGGCATGCCACGAGACAGCAGATATTCTTCCAGAGCAAAGCCAATAGTTGTTTTACCGGCACCAGAAAGACCTGTTAGAGAGGACAAGTAAGGCATACCGACGTTCATCTGGAGTATTAAAAAAACAGAAAACTAAACAGTAATCTAATTAATTACTGGTTACAAGTAATTAAACATTAGCTCCTAGATGAAAATCTAGACTAGAGAAAACAGATTACATATTTGAGGTAGATTAGAGGCATGAGACAGACAACAATAGCCATAGCAGAGCAGTTGCATACCTAGGCCCTGATAATCTCTTGTACTGCAGCTGAAGAATGGGATTTTTTGCAAGCAGACTAATTCCATGAGGAAATCCTCATGGAGACTCACTCACATCTCTCTCTCAGGGGAGAACACAGGGTTTGGGCCCCTCTTTTCTCCTGTGAAACAGATGCACTCAAACCTGGCAAATCCCCAGGGATATGTAGGAGGCCAGGCCATCATGTGGAGACCCCTGTACCCTCGCTGGGCTGTGATAGTTGGTGGGATACAGGGCCTGGGAGCCTGCTGTCTTCTGAAAAATCAAAGTGCCGAGATCATATCCCCATTACTGGTCGTACCTCTTGTCCCAATCCCCCTGCACGGACCTGAGACTGCACAAAGAGCAGTCCATGAGGTCTATGTTGGAGGAAAGACAGTTCTGTGGAGGCATCCAACCCCCTTTTCTTTTCAGGAGGGTTCAGATCCATGCACTGGAGACTGCTCCGGGAACGGAGTCAGGACAGGAGGGTTAGCTAGGGACAGGAGCACTTCAATTTACGTAGGACAACAGAGTCAGTCACTAACTGATAATCTAGGAAAGTTATCTAGAAACCTTCAAATGTAGTTCCATTATTGCCTAACCCATTAAAAATTAAAATAATAGAAAGTTATGGTAAGATCTCTGTATATTTCAAAGAAGAAACATCACCAAATGAAATTAAAACGCTTCACATACAGTACATATAAATTATATATGAAAGGGAATAAACAGCACTGGATGACTTTCAGCTTCAGGAATAACCTTAAACTGATTTAGTCTTTTTCACCTAAATGATTGGTATTCAGTAACTTTTTTTAAAACTAAACCCTTTTTAATAGAATGGTCAGTACACAAGCTGATATGAACATAAGATAAAGTGGTTCTCCGAACATTATGGAATGTGTGTTTTCCCATATTCCAGCTGCCAAACAAAATATACCGAGAGTTACCAAGCAAACAAACATGATAAACGATTAAAAGTAGTAAGAGAATTGTGTAAACATAACTGGAACAGCATACAGAGTACAGTTGTGACTTACCCTAACCTGGGAGGGAAGTTTCCCCCTGGAGAGAGAAAAACTGGAAGAAAGGGGGAAAAGTAATCCCTTCCCCAAAGTTTCATGAAACAAATACAATGTGACTCACGTTGTAAGCATTATTTATTCTCTATACATACAAAGCCCACACTGTTATATCATATAGCAGGATATTTTAAATCCCAGGAAACTGTTTTTATTTCATCTGTGTATCCAGGTCAGAAGAGTTTCCTAGGTCCCATTAGTATCAGTTTATGCAGGTCAAGTTAAAATAGACCTCTTTACACCTTGCACTAAACTCTACTTGGATTATTGACATACATAAATGAATTTCAAATTATACTCATCCAGCACCAGTGAGCAACACATTTCACACATCCATTTGCAGTCTCAATAAGGCTTAAAATACCTGTTAGCCACACTGTGCAGCCTCGAAATCCACCTCTTGTACCCACAACTTGGCCTCTTTTGCTCCTGCTGACATGATGAGCTTGATATACAACATTAGTGGCTCTTTGGATATTCTACACCCAAACAAAAACAAAAACAAAAGTTTATTGTTTCATACTGCAGAACAGAAAAATCCAAAGGGACCTGGCAAGAGGAGAAAATTCAAATTCAGAACATTCAAAATGAAAAAGGAGGTTATTTACAGTAAAGCACAAAGGAAGTATGTTTGCAGTGCTACCTGTTTCTGAATAAATAGTGGCTAGCTTGACATGGAACTCAGGCAACTGTTCAAAAAGGGGGACAAATAACCAAATAAGATGTCTGTCTTTGGTTTCAGATGGACTTAATTCAATTCAATTGTTTTTCTAAGATCCCTAATTCAATTTTTCTTTAAGTTGCTTTTTATCTTTGATCCCCTCATTTCGAGCCTGTCATACTAGTGCATTTTTATATGTTGCCACTGACTATGAATACAGCAGGAATTTCCTGTTCAAGCTGATATGAAATTTAATCTGCATATGGATTGTTGTAGATAGGGTGCTCTGAGGTAGCGACTTGCCCTCAGGCACATGTACTGCATAAAAAAGGAAATGTGGATGCAAACTGTCTTATTTCTCAAATTCTGTGCATGTGTAAAGCACAATTATAGTTGTTTACATAGTGTAAACCAGCAGTTCTCAAACTGTGGGTCATGACCCCATTTTAATGGGGTCACCAAGGACTGCCATTAGCCTTGCTGGGGCCCAGGGCCGAAGCCCGAGCCCCACTGCCTGGGACCAAAGCCCAAGGGCTTCAGTCCCGAGTGTGTGTGGGCTCAGGTTACAGGCCCCCCACCTGGGGCTGAAGCCCTTGGGATTCGGCTTTGGGTCCCCTGCCAAGAGCAGAGGGTCTCTGGCTTTGACCCTGACCTTCCCGCTTCCGTCCCCCCACCCCCCGCCCCCCAAGAGCAGCAGAGCAATTTTTTTGTTGTCAGAATGGGGTAGCGGTGCAATGAAGTTTAAGAATCCCTCGTGAACATTTAAAGCTCTCAATTTACTTGAAACTTAAACTGACAGCTTAAATTGCTAACACTTATATCCAGTAAATTGACTGCTTCAATGGTTTACATTATGTAAACAATTAAAATAATACTTTATTGTGCTACGGTCAAAGGATAGAATCCTCCTCGTTCTGGCCCTAGAGGAGCCGCTGCTTTGGCCAGTGTCTCTGCATAATTCTGAAAGCACTGGCCATGCTTTAACCCCCTTTTTCCCCACTGTCAAGAGTCAGAGTTCTCCTGCTCAGCCTCTCCATACTGCACCCACTTTACCATGGAATATCAGTGGCTGCGTTGCATTTAGGATCTTCTGTGCTCAGAGGGTAGGATGGGGTCGATTTTACTTTGAACAGCAATGTTCATTTTTGCGTAAATCACATTTATACTTAAATTGTGGTTTGGAAATATTCATACATTCAAGTTGTGGTTAAATTGCAGAAGCATTTCACTTCACATCACACACACACACACACACCCCTACCTGTCTTTTGCTGGCAGTGATTATCGGCTGGTACCACTGCCTATTATTAAAGTTGCTTGACATTTCCTATTTTAAGAACCTGTTTTCAGTTATTTATAACTTTGCCAAACTAATCATTTAGGCTCACATTTTCCATGCATAGGAACCAGTGGAGTGGAGGGGAAGAAGGTTAGAGGGAGGGTAGCCAGCTCTGATAAGGAACAGGTATGGGGGAAGAACCTGGACCAGCTGGATAAAGAGACTAGGACAAGAAGCTGGGGAGGAGGGGTGAAGATTGGACAAAGAGCCTGGGGATGGAAACTGGGAATGCAAGCAAGTGTAGAGGGGGGGGGGGGGGAAGAGAGTGTGTGTGTGTGTGAGTGAGAGACTGGAGCCCACCAGGGGGTCAGAGTCAGATTGGAGAGGAGCCAGGAGGAAGGGAGAGGGATACTGGAACTAGAACTAGAAGGTAACAAGACTGGGGACAAAGTGGCAGGGGGAGGGGGAATGGTAATGAAATGGGAACTGGGACTAAGGGAGGGAAACAGAGATTTGGATGGGGAATCCAGAGTGGGGAGACTAGGACTTGTTGAGCAAACACACTGGGACTAGGATGAGAGGCCTGAGGAGAAAAAATAGTATCTGATCAGTACTCATAGACTGTATCACAATGCATAGGTATCAGTGGAGGAGAGGGGAAATTAAAGTTGTACCGGCATCCTTCGTTCTGGCATTTTCTAACATTTGAGTGCTTGACTTTGCAACCTTAATAATAGTCTTTTGACATAGTTTTTGTGTGTGTAATACAGGTCTCTCCCACTAAATAGGGCTCTGGATTCCAGAACCTCTCTCCTAATTTAACAGTGCAGTACTTCCTGTCCATATACTATCTTTCAACCAAAAATCAGAGGCTACGTTGCAGCCATTATAGAAACTAGGCCTTTGTTTATCCCCCGTATAAACTTGCTTTGTTGCTGTTCTATTAATTGGCTCACAGTAAACTAATAGATTTGAGACAACTGTCTGGATACCACTGAGCTTTGCCTTCTTAAAAGGGTTGGTTTCCTACTGATCCAGCTGAAGAAATGGCTTCAAGAGTCTGATAGGGAAAAAAGTACAAATATTTTCTGCCCAAACAAATTCTGCACGATAGCTGGGTTTACGAGATATACACATATGGTATATGAACTATCACGGGTTCTTAAACTTTGCCATGACATTCCACCCCATGCTATAAAAATATTTACTCTTCTCCTGATGTTAGAGAAGGGAACTAATAATATTTCACTTGCCCCAGAAAAGTTGTAAGAGAAGACAAAAGAACAAGGAATGGGAGAGAGAATAAAATGGGAAAAGTATTTTAAACATATTGGCAAGGCAGCCTGTATATTGTTCCTGCTTGTTGGGTCATTAACATTCTTAGCACTCAGCAAACAAATAAGCATCTATTGAAAAAAAATCAATATTTATTAAACTACAGAGGTTTTGGCTTCTGTAGAATTTTAATTGAAAAATTATTCATGCTACCCTGTTCTTGCTATTGCCTTCCACTGAAGAGGTCAGTCTTTCCAGAGAGATCACCCACACAGAGAAACACTTATTTACTGGATTCCAAGTTTCATGCTAATTTTAAAAGTATTGATCTAAATTTTCAAAAACTGGGCTCATTTCTGTGTCTAAAAACCATGGCCGCAAGTTTGCACTTCCAGTTACTTATGGAAACCTAGATCTCCAGGTACCTGATTTTCATGTACTATTAGGTACTTAAGTATCCAAGTGACAATAATGCACTTTTGAGTGTATATGCAATTGTGAATCTAAAAATGCCCCTCACATAGGGTGGCCCAAGGTAAGCAGAGCTGAAAATCAGGCCCAATTATAAAAAAAATTCTCCAGATTTACAAGAAGTAATAAATTCCCATTCTTGCGTCCATGTCACCATTTCACGTCTTGATGGGAAATCCCAAAGCTAAAAAGTTTTGAGGGCTCCTGTCTCAACCACAGCAGGTGATACATTCTATCCCTTCTGGGAATCCACAGCTCCTACTGCCTCAACTCCCACTTCCTATTTTAACTGCTGCTGCTGCTGGCAGGGTGGTTCTCAGGGACTGACTCAGCAATCATTTCATTAGTTAGGATCGGTTCTTTTTCAGTTTTTTCTCTTTGTTGCTACTACCCAGGCTAAGTACATTTGCCATTTTTTAAAGCAGTTCTTTGCTGCTACTATGTCCCCATGGTAGGGACAAACAAGCAAGCACCACCATCTGACAAGAACCAATTTCTGGCCAATTAAATGCACTGGTTCCCACTACATTGACACACATTAGTTGCTCCAAAATAAGGCCCTCACCTACCATCATCTCCTGGAACACAGGTAACAGTTCAGCATAGCTTTGGGTACAGAGGCGCCAGTGAAGAAAATCAATCAGTTATGGATGAGTCTATTCTGAGCTTGTTAGCTGGGCAGGTGAGGCAGCATTTGAAACACAGACATAGTGTTGCCAACTCTTGCAATTTTATCATGAGTCTCATAATATGACGTGTTTTTCTTAAAGCCCAAACTCCTATTATCATGCAATTATGTGAGAACCACAGCTTTCATTTAAAAAGAAAGTTAATTTCTAGCCCTCAGAGTTGAGGAGGAAAGCATGAAGATGTGACTGATCTGAGTGTATCCAAAAAGCCCAGAAACCAGAAGTAAAAAAAAAAAATTATAATCTTTATTTTTAAAGATCTTGTGATTTCTAAGCCAACCTCATGATTTTTCGTCCTGACATGATTTTTAAACACCTGGGATTGGCAATACTATAGTAAGCAGTTTCACCAACTCTCATGATTTTAGTACAAGTCTCATAAAAGTTAGTTTTTTCTTTAGAGCTCCAGCTGCTGGAGTCATGTGAATGCATGAGAATCTCAGGTTTTCATTTTTCTAAACCACATTCTTAGCCCTCATAGTTGAGGAGAAAAGCTTGAAAATGTGACCTGAGTGTAATTAAGGCTCAACAACCAGAAGGCAAATATAAGAACTCACAATGTATTTTTTTTAATTCTGGTTTTTAATCCAATCATGATTTTTTGGGGCCTTACTTGTGAATATATATATATATATATATATATATATATATATATATATATATATAAAACCAAACAAATATATATATAACAAACATTTGGCAGTACTGAGAATGTATCATAGCAGTGCAACTTTGGTCATCCCTTAGTTTCAGGCTTCATCATTTGAGCAAGTGCTAAATGCACATGGCATCAAGGTATCCAAGAGAGAAGTCTGTCAGAATTAACAACTATTACCAAAGATAAAAAGCAGTATTTATGATGTACCACGATTTAGCATAATTTAAAAATACAGACTCAAACTGCTAATGACTATCCCTACAGAGCACAGAGATCCTCAGTCAGTGTCCAAAGTCACCCCCTTTCCAGGGTTTAGCTTTACTGGTAACCCGAAAAACAAGCAAACAATAAAACCCCAGAACATAAACCTCTGCTGATACTTCCTCCTCAAGCCAGGCTGTTAGTATGGCTTCCTCCTCCGTTCTAGAACCCTAGTTTTCTCTTAC